TTCAATTTTCATTTGATCTGTTTATCGTGCTCATTAGAATACTTTTTACATGTAGAATTAGACAATCATTGTCTGGTTACAAGTCAATCTAATTTACTCTTATGTTGAATTCTTTGGAGATGAGTTTCTAATTCCAACTTGGCTTGGTAGAAATATTCATGCTGCTCAATTGAAAGTGGAATGTGCTATTATTATTCCAATCTTTTCCTATTTCTATTCTATTACTATGACTATTTCTTGAAATTAGCATTTAAAACCAAAAGTAGCCTAAAGCTATGTTTGAAGAAATCCAAGATTTTTATGAAATTTATTTGTAAATCCATACTTAGTTCATGTGTATATGAGCGGTACCCCCTTTGGCGCCATGCTAATTTGTACTGAAATTTTTCTTTTGAAAAAAAAAAAAATGCTTACTTAGTTCAAGTGGAAGATCGTAAAAATTATTGCAAAAATGATAGGAAAATGAATTCATGTGGAAGTTCACTTAAAATCGGAATTTACATTACAAATTCATTCAATTGATAAAATTTGGAATCTATTGTTCAAATTTCATGTGAGATTTCATATTTTGTCATCTTACTATAATTTACAACTTACAACCTCTCTTAACTAAACTATGTATGGATTTGCAAATGAATATCATAACATTTGCAGACTTGTTCCAAGCATAACCTAAAATTATAAGGTAATAGAGCGACAAAGAAAGCCCTGATTCTTGGTTTCGTTTTTGTTTGGCAAAGTGCCCTTTCTTATGGGTTATTTTGTGTTTTCATTAATTGTATGTTCCTTTCCATTTTGTTTGAATAATATTTCACATTGAGATAAAGGAAAACAACATTTAGAGGTGAAGATGCTAAAGATTGGAGTGAAAATTTTTGGGAACTTGTTATTTAAATGGATTGCTTCTTGTGGGTGATGCATTGTTTGCCAAGATAACTTGACAAGAAATTTTTCTCAGAGGAGTTCCATAAGTATTTTCATGTGAATTGTCAGGATGAACATCTTCCATACTACAGAAGAAAGGGAATATTTTCTTCAGCTTTATACAAGGATAAAATCTACTCAACACAACCTGAGAGTTCCCTGATTAAAGAACATGTAAGTAGATTATTCATGTGCTTATGTTGGTGATCATGTTCTATATACGTTCAACTTGGTACTTGCTTTCATGTCAACAAGGTTTTCCTCTTTTGAGATTGTTTATTCTCACTTGATTAAATTGTTTTTTAGCTCAAGCACAATTTATGTTCCTCTAAAAAAAGTACAAGTTCTACTAAACTTTGGTTATGATCGATAAATAAGAAATTGCTGGGGTTGAAGGGAGAGCTAAAGGAGCCTTCTTTATTTGATGTTTCAATATTGCAGGGTGGAGAGATTTACTGTTATACAAGCCTTGTACATGGATACATACCAGAAGAATTGCTCCACAAGGGTTGTTGATATTTTCTTTTTGTTACATGATGATAGTAGGAAATTTATCCTGTGCAGGAAATTGATTTTACTGCCATATTTTTTGTTTTAGATACATATTTTTATTCTTAGGATTCAGGTATACATTTACTGTGGTGAGAATTAGTGAATACATTGATGAAGCAGAATATTCTTTGAACATTCTTCAGTAAGTCCTGTTAAATAATCTTAAGATTTCATTGCATATTGTAGTGATTTGGCATAATGTCAATAAACAGCTATCTATGAGCAGTCTAATCTGTTTGGCAAGTAAGAAAGTGAAAGAAAAGAGAGCGAAATAAGCGATGGACAGAGAGTGAAATTCCGATTCTTAGTTTTTGCATGCTTCAAATAATTATCAGGAACCAATCTAATTAACCGAAAAAATCCTTCCACGAAAGTGCTTGACAAATATTGCCAAACAAATTAATGATAAACTAAATGTGAATCAGATTGATCTTAGTAAGATGGTATAGAATATCTTCTCGAGCTGAAGCAATGACAACCCTAATGCTTTTTACAGGTGTAGCTGAAGAATTCCTGAAGAAATCACTACTTAGAGGTAATTTTGAGGAATACCCAGATGAAAAGCATGCATTATACTAAAGAGTTTTAAAAGAGTTATTGAAAAGATCCAATTACCAATAATTTTATTGATGGATGAGATGAAGGTTTTGGAGGAATCAAGAGGGATTAAGCTTCTAAATTTGCCTTCTCACAATTTTTTCTTTCTATTTTCCAGGAAATAACAAAAGGGTCCTTTATTATTGTACATGTGAAACTCATTACACCATTATGCACTTCTTCAAGTGTACGTTGTCCTTTTAAACTTAGCAAATTTTTTAAATGAAATTATCAATTTGATATATCGTCGGAACTGGGTAGCTTTATTATCATTGTTTTTTTATCATATATAATTACTGAAAGGAAACACAAGAAGCTTTCATAGCTCAGTTGGTTAGAGCACCCGTTTAGTAAGCGGGAGGTCTTGAGTTCGACTCTCAATGAAAGCATTATTTTTTTTGTGCCTTTCAGAATTTTCTTTCCTGTGAGTACAGTCTCTTTGTTTATGGTAATATGGTGAAAGTGATGTTCAGATTAAATTTTCTGCATCTTTCCTTAATCAATCAAACACTATATAATCTGAGGATTAATATATATATATATATATATATCATATAAGAATTAATTATTTTATGTCTAACCCAAAATTCAAACTGAAAAAATCCTGTCTAATCCAAATAATAAAAGATCATTGACCCAATATATAAACTAACATAATTAATGAACTCAAAACACCCTTGTAATTGCCCAAGTGAAATATAAGAAAAGAAAATGAATTTGATCAGAAGGGAGAAAAGAAAATTGACCTGGCTTGAATTCATCCCTCTAATCTTCTACATTAAGGGTAACTACTAATCTAAAACAACACAATTATAGGATTCATATGTACATTCTTTCCTGGGATAACCCATTGGATTCTTGTCCCAAATTAGAGCCATTCAATATGATGATTCCTAAATCATCTACAGTGCAGTAATCTGTCATATCGTGATTGGATATCATATTGTGACCAGACAATGTCGAGATGAAGATTCACATTTTCTACAACGAAAGAGAGCTGAACTAAACATGTAAGCCACACTGCACGTTCTGCGAGTCCAGTAAAGTTCTAGCAGCTTCTATGACTCCTTGTCCGCTGACATAGTGCTGTCGGCACACAGGCATGTAAACTTCAGCCCCGCCAATCAGCTCCTTCTGAGTCTCCTCCGTCTTTCTTAAAGTAAAAAAGGCTCGTTTACCACAAACTTCACATCGAGCCGTTAACTTGGTCACTGAATCAGCAAGAGGAATTATGTCCAGTACAGAGCCAAAGCTCTTCCTGCCATCCATAGTTGAATCCACAATCAGAGGATTAGAAATAGTTTCAGAGGATCTTGATGGTGTCATGTGCTTAAATATAGATGAGGCAAAACTAGGAGTTTCCATTAATAATGGATAGATTGGAAAAAAAAATAATACCTCAAGTAATCACCATCTAGACCTGCAACTATTACTGTTTTACCGTCATAATCAGCAGCTTCCCGGCAGAAATCATAGAGATCTTCGAAGAATTGAGCTTCATCAATGCCAATCACATCTAGCTGCAACCACAAACTGATCATTAAAAGATATTGCACAGAACCAAAACAAACTCAATTCAAAATTACAACAAAAGAAAAAATTCCAATTAAATGAGAGAAATCTTTCATAAACTTGGACTAAGAAAGATTCGCCTTGTATTTTCCATAAACAACTTTTGATATGACAAAAACTGATCCAATTGAACCTACAAAGTGAATGATAGATAACCCAGACAACCGAATAACACCCAGATGCTTGTTATTTGAAAAAGAGAAGAAAACTCTCGACCCAACATTGCCCAAACCCAAATAAACCGAACTTAAAATAATTTAAACCTAAAAACTTGAGTATAACCATAACCGATTCCGCACTGAAATTGAATCAAAACTATCTGAATATTAAAATAATATTAATATTAATGTTAATTTTACTACAGGAAGAAGTAAAAAAGATAATATTTCCACCAAGTTTAGCATGATAAAGCATGAAACCGAAACCTGAACAACCCAAAACCCAAATGGATCAAAGAAGAGCCAAAACCCCAAACGGCCCAAAACTTGAAAGACCTGAGGATTTAATAACCTGGTAACCCAAATAACCCAATATGCAAAATTATTTTGCCTGCATCTAACCCAAACCTGAAAATTGCTGTCTCCAGAGACAATTAACTGAGATTACATTGTCTTTTAAATGAAGAAATCATGTGGCTATACATTCATGAAACGTCAACAGCAAGTACTGATTTCCTGTTATGTACCTGACCATAAGCATCCAAGCCAAACTTTTGTCTGAATGATGACAAATTGGCCAATGCCCAACATGGCAATTTCACCCCATCATGAGTCACTATTGAATGCGGATCATACCTCGTATCCTTGTTTGACTTTATTACTGCAACATTTCTGCAAGACAAACAGGAAAAGAGGTTGTGCTCCACTTTGAATAATCAATCTATAACTTTCCTCTTAAATTACAAATTTGATTAGAACTAAATTATTATTATTTTTATTAGAACTAAATTATGTAGTATGAACTGCACTTGATTCTCCCAACTAAAAAGTTCAATGTCAAAATGAAATATCCAAAGAACTAGCGGCGTTAAAAAGGAAAGATGACAAGCAAATCTGTACCAAAGAGTGAAATTTTCCAATTGAACAATCACATCTTATCAATATCAGGCCCAAATCATTTGAAGAGTCCTACCATACATAATAAAATAACTAGAGATGAGAAGACAGTTCAGCAAGCATGATCAAGCTGATAAATCAGGTATATGTCAGTCAAATCAGAACTAATAGTTTCCACCACTCAATGAGTTCAAATAAGTGTGAAAAAATTGATTTTGGCAAACTTAAGAATCCCTCAAATAAATTCTAGAGGAATGTGAAACTGAATTTTAACTTGCCACGTAAAGATAGAACAGCATGTCCAATCTCCCGTACCTATTGGGCTATTAGTTTTTCATTCCAGATTCCATATATTTCCTTGCAACTCTAAGGTCAAAGACCTTATCACTTTCAGAATCCTCAAATAGCTTGCTTGTTTGTAGAGAGCATGACAAAAGAGCTGCATGGGGAGACAGATTTCCAAAAAAAAACATGAGTTAATTGCCACTTAAATCAGGAACATAGCCTGCATCCTTTAAAATACAAGTAATCTCTTTAATCATTTCATAAATCTGGTCAGATTGTTTATGTGATTTATCACCCTTTAGGAAGAAGTTGACCTCTTCTTGAACCTCAATCCTGCTATAACCAGGCTCTTTTACCATCCCTGAATTCCTCATCATTCCTCTAACCTGAGCAACACTGTCCCAAAACCCAAATGAGGCATAAGCATTAGACAAGACAACATACTTCCCAGCATTTTCTGGTTCCAACTCAAAGTATCTTTTGGCTGCAAGCTCTACCAAATCTATGTCCCCATGAGTCCTGCAAGCCCCAAGCAAGGCACCCCATATCACAGAGTGGTTCCTACAAGGTGAACTGAGAACAAGTTCATATGCCTCATGCAGCCTACCAGCACGCCCTAAAAGATCAACTATAGCTGCATAATGTTGCCCTCTAGGCTGGATCCCATAATCTCTTGTCATCAATGAGAAATATTCCCAACCCTCATCAACCAAACCCCCATGACTACAAGCACAAAGAACTGCAAGAAAAGTAACATAATTTGGTCTGAACCCTTCAATTTTCATCCTATCAAATGATTCCAAAACCTCTTCCACTTTTCCATGCTGCCCATATCCGGATATCAAAGCTGTCCAAGTGACAACATTTCTATTCGATGATTTATCAAAAACCCTTTGCCCATCAAAGAGACTGCTGCATTTGAAGTACATGTCTATGAGGGCACTATCAACTACAACATTTCCCCAAATATTGCTCTTTATCATTACAGCATGGGCTCGTTTTCCATGTTCTAAGGTGGCCAGTGCGGCACACGCTCTAAACACAGAGGCAAAGGTATACTGATCTGGTGTCAAACCATTTAATCTCATCTTATAGTAAAGATGAAGTCCAGTTTCCTCAAGACCCTTCTGTACATATCCAGCAATCATAGCATTCCAAGGAATCAAGCTCACATCCAACAACTTATCAAACAGAATATGAGCAGTTCGTAGATCTCCTGATTTAGCATATAGTATCAACAATTTTGTATTCAAATACTCACTGGGAACAAGGCCAGCAATAATCATCTGTGCATGGATTCTTTTCCCCTTCTTGTGTGCTTTACTAAATATGCATTCTTGCAATAGCAGAGAATAAGTCTCTGGCAACACTTTAACTCCTGTGCGCCATAAAAGGCCAACTGCCTCTGCCAACCTCCCTGTAATGCAAAGACCCTTTAAAATTTTATCCAGTTGGAGATGATCTTCATGGAGTTCCACCTGAAAGCTGGGAATATCTCATCAGTGAATCACCTTCTATCACGGGAACATAAACATGGAACAACACCAGGCCATTCTTTAAGCTAGAGAGAAATGAATTTCATGGAAACTTCGTGTTTTTGCCACTGAATTGGTCCATCATAAACACCCAAGAACAAAATTTTTCATGTTCTTGAATCACTTGGCACGTGCATATTGCCACTCAGTCAAGTTTAAAGCTATCAAATGTTACACAAACATTCAAAGCCTGAAAATTTCTTTTCAAGACCACTAAATAAAAGGCAAAATTGGATAATCAAAGGGGGGAAAAAGGAACAAAATTTCAAGCAAAACCCAGCTCAGCAAATCAGGAAAAGAAGAGAGAGAGAGAGAGAACCAAACCTGCCGTTGCTGCTCTCAGATTGTATACGGCGGAGAAGGCTCGTCGTCTTGCCAGCGAACATGGGACCGATGATCACGTGGATTTCACCCGATGACGAAGACCGAGAGCCTTCCGTTTGCAGCATTCGACTTGAGACAGCAGAAGCCCGAGTTTTTGACAAACTGATCATGGGTTTCGTGTGGAAGAAACTCGAATTCTGCGAAACATTGGAGTTGCAGAGAATCGACCGAGAACCCAAACAAAACACGCCGAAAGTTCTAGCTTTCTGGATACGAACAGACGATGGTGAAAATGATGGGACCATTAAGCTCTTCATTCTCGAAATAGCAGACATTTGCTTTGATTTCTCGAGCGGGAAAGAGTTTTACGGTTTTGCTCGAAAAATAGGGAACTTTGTCATGGTCTTGCCAAATTTAGGGTTTAAGGATCTGCGAAGATAGAGAGAGAGAGAGAGAGAAAAAGGGTTTAAGGATTATCGACTATAATTTTATCTAATTAGAGCTTAATTACTAAATTACACGGACTAATCCGGTATTTAAGGGTAATCATTTTCATGTCACGACAACTATCGAGTGTTGCGGCACTCTGTGTACATTCATACACGTCGAACCATCTGGACCGTACAGAGTTCATCAGACGGCTTATAATTTTTCAATATCATGCTTAAAAGCAATTGAATTATTCACAAATAAGTCAATTGAGTACCATATTTAAATGTGATTTAAAAAATATTTTGTTATATCTTCAAATAAATTATATAAGACTTTTCCTAATAATTTTACACATAAATTAATTTTTTTAAAAATATTATATTACAAATTACAAACCTAATTAAAACCCATAAATTTTTTTTTTAATTTTTAAAAAGATTTGGACCGTTTGATCTCCCACCTAATGATCTAATTGCTATATAACGAGCTTTTATAAGAAAGTTGATAGGAATCTTGGAGACACATGAACCACTTCTCACATATAAATTATATCCTCTCCCATGTGATTCTAATCATGTATGTTTATGTATGTACATACATATATATTATATATATGTATGTATGTATGTATGTATGTATGTATGTACATACATACCCACAAACTTATCCACTATTCATTGACCACCTAACGAACCACATTGTACCAACTCAATTATAACACTAATTAATATAAGTTAATGAATCCCTAGTCTTTTCTACTTATATAAAACCCTAAATTGGTGAAGGTTCCTACAAATTAAGTCCTTATTAAATTCCCTAATGAAAATTAAAGAACAAACAAATTATACCCAATTTTTTTTGGATGATTAATTAAATCTAGCAATAATTTTATTAAATATTATTTTTTTTGGAGACAATGTAGTTGTTGTATGATTATGTTGTACCAAATTGCTAATTATAAAGGAAACATGTATTAATAGGTTATTACATTGCTAATTATAGATACTTAAAATGTGAATTATGTGGCTAAGAAGTTGAGTTTGTGTTGGGTTTCAATCAATTCAAATCATAGTTTTTGCATATGATTTTATTTGACAAAACAATTTCATTCTTTTAATTTGATCGTTTTCAAAATAAAATGTATAATTCATTTCATAGTTTTTTAATAAATTTATATATTAATTAATTATGTGATATATATATATATATTTATTGATCATAATATGTAATACTCAGGACCTAAAAATTAGTTCGGGATAATTTTTTTATTAGATTAATTATTTAATAATTATATAAAAATAATTATTTATATTATTTTATTTTTATTTAATTGAATTTTTAAGAAAAAATAAATTAGAGACGTAATTTAAATAATTTTAAAAAAAATGGTGAAAACTTTAGTTTAGGGAATATTTTTAAAAGAAAAATTAGAAACAGATAGTCAAAGTGCAAAAAAAAAAAAAATTTGGCCACGTGAGACGGCCCAGTCAGCAGCTCCGACGAATCGGAGTACGCCGCGTGTCAAAATACGTTGATGTCAGTGCCACACAGAAGGCCACGTGGGCATTCCGTGTACCCAGCGATCCGACAGCCCAGGTTTGATCCTGCACACGTGAACGGCTTAAATTCATTCCCTTATTATACACAATTGGACGGACGAGATCAATTGTGATGAACGGTTCAGATTTCTCATACAATCGGGTTAAACAAGCAAAGATCGGACAACCCTCCTCGCTCCACGTCGATGTAAATGGACAGTCTATATCAACGCAGGATGGGTATAAATATCTTGCGTCGTGGGGGAACCCAAACCCTAGCCGCTAATCCCGTTGGAGAAGAAGAATCAAACACCGGAGAAAAAGGCCGACTTCCTACTGGTGTTGCACAGGAGCCACCGTTGACCGCCAAAAAAAGATAAAATTTCTCCCTACCCACTCGGAATTTAATTCTGAGTCTTCCTTTAGTCACATTGGAGCAAAAGGGACAACGGGTGAGTCGAAAACTACAGACAAAGCCCGATTGAGCCGTCGCAGCCAAAACTCAAAAATTCATTCGATAAGCGCCTTCCTGCTTTTCATTCCATGCAATTTTCTGATCATTGTGTTTACCGTCATTTTCTATGTAGGTTAGTCGAAGAAGGAATCCCAGCTGCGAATGAGGACCGGCAGAACCGCCGCACCCAGATACCCCCCACCAGTAGGTTCTGTTTTTTGTAATTTTCTAGCCAACCGAGACCCCATAACATATTTTTTTTACAGGGATACGTATAAAATCGGCTAAAATCAACTGAAACTGGTCAAAACTGGCTAGGCCGGGGTGAACCGCCATCATGGGCAGTGGAGTTGGCGTCGTGCCGGAATCCCAAAATTGGCTGGAAAGAGTTTTGGATAACGATTTTAGATTTTTGGAGGTATTTTTAGATACGTAACGAGTGTTTTCGATTTCACATGAAAAATTCATGAAACACGGGATCCGTTAGGAGACGTAGTAGACGGCGCGACGTCTCGAAATACCAATCCGAGTAAAGATCTCTCACCCTATTCCTCGTTATGGTAAAATGAGGCTTAACAATATATAATTTTATATTTTTGTGAAAATTTAAAAAATCCTAAAAATAATTACAGGTCACAAGTATAGCTGAAACTGGTTAGTTCACAATTATCCTAAGTTCTTATTTACTTTTTTGTATTGTCCTACTTGCTTGTCATCATATTATACATGTTCTTAATTTATAATTTCTATGATTTTGTCGATTTATCTAGTTTATTCGGTTATCTGGTTACTCGATCCCTTATTATGATAAACTATATCGTTTGCATAAAAGTCGTTTAATTGATTTGTAAAGATAATATGAGATATTAATATGCATTTGTTGGTTATTTTGTTAATTGGAATCTTTATGTGAAAGACTTACTGGGTACCCAGGACCTAATACATAAGGAGCCTTATTGTGAATATTACCTCAGTCAAACGGGACTGAGAAGTCACTTACCAAAAATATTCGAGAGATATGGTTCACCCTCATACCAGACGGAGTATCAAGGTTATTAAATGTTTGGCGCTCATTATTGGACTGAGTATGGGGTTAATTGTTAAAAATTAGATATTGGATTCACGAATAGGGAGACATCCCTATGAACTCTCAGGGATACCAGTAAGTAAGTAAGAGAGAAAAACTGTCGTTTCTTGTTCTCTTGTACGTGAAAATAAAAAGTGGTATAAATATGAGTTTTTATAAGTTATTTTTTGATAAGCTCGTAACGGTAAGTATCAAACAAACATTTTTAAGTTAAATATATTTAATTAAAGCAAGGGCTCCATTAGTTATTTTTCTGATTTTTACCAATATTCATTTTCTGTATCAGTGAGTAGTGTGATATTCTTATTGGGTTAATATAACTCATCATTTAATTAACTATTTCAGATCCATAGAATCAGGATCCAGACTCCGATCAATAAGAAAGCTATGAGTAGTTTATCTCACAAACTCTTTCAAAAGCTAGTGGATTAACACCGTATGATATTTATCTATTTGTTTTAAATTATTTATTTGTTTCTTTTTTTACGAGTTACTGTATGGACATTCACGTAATTCTATTGACAATCTTAATTTACTGTGTAAAAAATGTAAATTCTAGCATATTATTCACTTTCATATTTAAATTATAAATTTATTTTTTTTAAGGTTGCACATTTTTACATAATATAATATACTTTTATGCTTTTTTCTTTGAAGAGCTAAAAGTTCATGGTGTATTATAGCTTTCAAATTAAGGGCTTAGTTAATGATTTTGAGAAAAAAAAAATGAGAGTGACATTATATATATACATATATGTATTTATATAATCCATTTAGAAGATAATATTATATGAGAGTAGTTAGACATGTACTTTTAAGTTAAGACACTTGGTTTGGTCTCCTTAACTTTTGAGTAAATATAATGTTTTTTTCTTTTAGAAGTTATATTTAACACTCAAAATATCTTTTTATATTTTTCAAAGATCATAAATTTATTTTTTAAATTCAAAATTTTGAATTTTAAATTTTAAAACCCATGTTAATTTTAACAATAAAAATATCTTGTTTGAGTTAGCATTAGATATTTTAGGTATAAAACTAATATATATTTGAATTTTTTAATTTTCATTTCAAAATTACTTTATTAAAATTTAATAAATACATGATATTATTTTTCATAGCATTATATATATATATGTATGATCTCTAGACCATTAACATACTAGGGTTTAATTTTAAATTTAATTGATCAAACATATCAAATGAGTCACCCATTTTCATGTGACCTATTGATATAAATCATTTTTGTGTGACATTAATATACTTCAATCATTTGAGATATACACACACACACACACACACACACACACACATATATATATATATATGTATGTATGGGTAATTGTCTTTGCCCACAACATATATAATTCACTAAATGTATATGATAATATGTGTACATACACAAACACAATATGCTTAACAAAATATTGGTAATAAGTGACCAAATTAGGAGGTTAATTTGGTAATTTAATGGTAAGATTATAACATCATAGCATGTGGGTAGTGCACATTTCTATCTGTTTTTTTTTTTTTCTTTTTATTTAATTTTTTTTGTTATTAAAAATTCTATTTTGTGAATGAGTGGGTGCACAAGTAATCCTTTCTGTCTTTCACACATTT